TCTCTCTCTCTCTCTCTCTCTCTCTCTCTCTCTCTCTCTCTCTCTCTCTCTCTTAATTAGCCTTTTTTCCTTTTTTTTTTTTTTTGTCACATTTAATTTAATCACCATATCCAGGTTTTTTTTCCTCACTATATAATCACTATGTATCTTCCCCCCCCCCATTCTTTTGGTGTTGTTTTTATGTTTCAGTAATAATAATGATAATGATGAAGATGATAACGATGACGATGATAGTAGTAGTAGTAATAAGAGTAGTAATAGTAATAGTAGTAATAGTAATAATGGTTTGGATGGGAAACCATCATGTGGGCTGGACTTTTGAAATACAGATCCTTTGATTCAGGTCAAGCCTCCTTCAAGTTCAGCCCAACTTCTAGCAACTTACGTAGACACATTCACACATTCTTGCCATTTTCTGGGCACGATACAGAGGGTGGGCTGGTTCAATCTGGGGGGAGAGGGTTGGCTTCCCAGTCCAGCCAGCAGCCCTGGGTCTCCCACACCAAGCGCTCCTCCATCCAAGAACCAACCAGAACCAAGCCTTCTGGGCTTCCTGGATCAGGCCTGGTTGACTAGGGGCCGTCCCCGGTTGACTTCACGGATTCAGTCAGTGGCGTGACATGAAGGATCAGTTTGCCAACGGTTCTTGGAAGGCAGCCGCGTCTCCCTTTCTGCTCCTCTGGGTGAGCTGATCCTGAACAGGTGCAAGGGCACCATGAATCCCAGCTCCTCCAGCTAACCGGCTCCTGCTTTTGCTCTCTTGCAGTCAATGCCACCCGCATCTCCCCCAGCGCCCCGTCCCTCAGGATGTCCCAGCTGTCTTCCACCTTGAAGCGCTACGTAGACTCTCCCCGCTACTCGGACACCTTGCCTTGCAGCAAAGCCTCCACCAGCTATGGCACCTATTCCTCCTATTCTTCCAACCTGTCCTCCTCGTACCCAGACAAAGAGAAGGTCAACTACAAGCCCACCTCTCCTTCCAGCTACTTGGCTTCCACTCACCTGCGGACGTCGGGGGCCACCGCCTCCTCTTCTTCCTTGAACTTCGACGGGGGCGGGCGGCTGCTCCAGCGCCCCGACTCGGGCACCAGGCTGAGCCCCGGTTTCAGCCGGGTCCCTGTGCGGCCCCCCGGGAGCGGAGGCCTGAGCGGGGGGGCCACGAGCTACTCCTTTGGGAGCGGGCCCTCGACCAGCTATGGCTCCACCCCGCTGGGACGCAAAAAATCCAGCAGCCATTCTGACTTGGCCCGGGACCTCTCCACCATGCACCTGTCCTCGGACCCGTACCCCTCCACCTCCACGCGCAGCCCCTTCATCGCCCGCACCCGCCAAGAGTTATGTAGCCTCCAAGGATTTTACCAGAACACCAGACACTCGGATTACGTCAAAGACTACCTGGAGTCCTACGGCCGCAAAGGTGGGCGCTCCCTGGCCCCTGGTCTCCACGGCTCCACCCCGGAGGTCATCACCCCCACCCTGCGCCCCACCAGCCGCTGCTCCGTTCAGCAATGGGAGCGGGCCGACAGCCAGACAGACGTCCTGAGCAAGGAGGCTCCGGTAAGAGGCTCCCCCCGTTTTGAGTGGGATGGGGGCGCTGTGCGTTTTCCATGGGAGCAGGGAAACGGGGGGCCCTCCTTTGATGCAAGCCCGTATTGCAACGGGAGTGGGGCCAAAGCCAACGCAAAGGAGATTTCTCAAGGTAGCAACATAGACCGCAGGGATTTTGTAAGTACAGATTGTTGTCTTAATTGGAGATGCTGTGTTTCGTTCATTTATTAGTTGAATTAATTGTGGTTTTTTTTTAAGAAGAAAGCTTTTTATGCACTAAAAAGGGTCCCTAATTATTGAGGCTATCCGTTTTTAAATGTAATGCGAAGATTCATTAAACCTTGAAGCAGCCAACGTCTTTCTGCAGGAGCCATGTCTCCAGCATGTAAAATAAGTGAAGTTCTCCACCATTCAACCCTGAGCTACCTATATTCTCTTCTGTTGGATATAAAATAAGTACTCTACATCCCCACGCCGAGCCAGGTTGTAGACTTTCCACTTCAGAATCAGGGCTTTTATCCAGGGGGAACCCTACTGTTTTAGTTTCCATGTTCATTTCAGTTTTCTTCTTAATTCTGACATTATGTTTATCCATTATGTTTGCCCCACTGGCAACCTTCACGCATCAAAGCACGTCTCCTGTTGTTCCCAAATTGACCTCTGTTTGCTAAATTTTAGCAGATTTTTCAAAAAAAAAAAATGGGGGGGGGGTTTAATTGGCAGTGTGAACACAGCTGGCCCACCATCCCTTGCCGGACAGAAGTCTCTGTCACCATCTGCTGCTGTGAGACCTGGAAGCCCAAATCCTCCCAGCCCCGTTTTCTTCTTGAGTACGTTGACCTCCCTAACCTCCTCTTTTCCATTCATTCCAAGTGCACCTGGGTTTTTTTCCAACACACCCTTGGCATGCTCCGGGCATCAAATGCCCTCAGCTCACCAGCAGCACAGTCAGTTCGTACTGCCATGGTTCCTTGGGTCAACAAGGGCACGGCCCAGTGGCCTAATTTTGCTGTGTCCAGGTGAGGTCAGACGTGATTAAATGCTGGTCACCAGTTTCCACCAGCCCACTGTGGCCTTGGGCTCTCTGTGTTCTTGAGACATGGAAACCTGAGTGACTTGGTACAAGACGGGGAACAGCAGTCCCCATGAACATGTGGAGAGGCCCTTTCGGAGGGTGCAGTGGAAACCTCTGCTGGGCACGGATGTAACCTTCAGGCAGATGCTAAGCCCAAACGTGGTCTGCCCTCAGGGTGGCTTTTTTGCTCACACCTGGAGGAACAGCTGGAGAGCATGGGAGGAAGAGAGCCCCAGAGAGAGCCGTCCGCCGTGTGCTGAGACAGACCACGGCCTCTGTGGATGACCCTCTGCTCCTCCGCAGGGCCACAGGCTTCTCTAAACTTCTCTTAGGACTATTGACATAACAAGCTTGTGTGCATGTGTATCCGTGTGTGTGTTTGTGTACTTCTGTGCATGTTCCCGAGCGAGTATTAAGTGATTATATCTGTTACATAAAAACCAGGGACTGGTGCCAAGGACTGGGAGGCTGGGAGACAGAAAATCTGCCAGGTTGACTCCTTCACTGCTGGCGGCCCAGCACCCTCCTGGGGAAAAACTGGAGGAAGGGGCTTGTTTCATTCCCCCGGGGCCCCCCGCCTGGCCTGGATGCGAATCCTGGGGTGGGTTCTGCATAGCTCTTTCTCCTTTTTGCCCCTTCTCTGCTGCTGTCTTAATCAGCAAAAAGGAGCAGATTGGATGATTCTCATGGCCCACCCTACTGTGTTTAATTATAATATATCATCATCATCATCTTATGCTGCCTTTCTCCAGCAGAGATTAGGTGGGGGCAACTGGGGACAGAAAGTTTGTTCTGTTTGTTTGCATGCCTAAAGCCACCAGCTTTGCTAACCTGGTGATGTTTTCAGCAGGCCGCGCATGTTTGCGGTTAACCTGTGCCGTTCTGGCGGGATGGCAAAGCCCCCGACGCCCCATCAAGTTTTTCTTTGTAGAGATTCTTACGTATTTGCACTCAAGGATGGGTAGCCCATAAACGCCTCAGAAGCAGCTGGTGGTAAGTTAGGTCCTGCATTTCACGCGGCCCGTTTTAAAAGAAAGCATCTTGGAGCCCACTCTGAAAAGGAAGTTGCCTCTGGCCATGTGCAGAGCACGTTTCCCCTGGAAAAGGAACAGCTGCAGTTTGTCATCTCTGGCTCACAGTTCAGGAGCTGTGTTGTCTTTCTGGTAACTAAGGGCAGGGCTCAGATCAAAATTCTGGCCATTCTTGGTTGTTGAATGTACAGATACACCCAAGTAACTAAGTGCTGCCTTCTCCCCCCTCCCCCCCCCCCCCAATTCCCGGATTCCCGCCCAACTTTTTCCACCACCCGAAACCGCCGTTTTTACTTCTGCTCTGGTGTTTGCGAAAACAAAGCAAACGGATTAATGCAGTCCTCGGGTTAAGTGGCGGGCCCTTCTCTTAGGAAGTCAGATCTTGCACATCAGTTGCTTGAGCAGACCCGGCTTTTCAATCAGGAGCTCCCCGCTTTTGTCAGCCCGGGGTCGCAACCCGCCCCGCAGGTTGGAATCTGCCCCTGCACCTACGGCGGGGGGGGGTTCTTGGGGG